CTTTGATTATTTTGACGAGCGCCTGATTCCACCACGCTGCCTCACAAATTGTGTTTCGCAGTTCCACAAGAGTTTGTTTTGCAACCAACACAAATAATTCTGTCAGTCAAAATATTTACAACAAAAGAAAACAAACAGATCATGTGTATTTCATAACCAGAGATCCTAATTATTTTTTGTATTCTTCAGCACCTTCCTTTGTTACGCAGCTTTACCTTTGTAATTCCTAAACTCAAGTAAATTACACATCTTTTAGATTCAAGGCCAGGGATAAACCAAGAAATTAGAACAAACACAACATATTCCATGTTCCCGTCTCGTTTTGCAGATCTTGTCAATAAACAAAAAGGAAGTCACCTGTGAAAATTATGGTTCTACACGACCCGATAAGCAAAAACAAAACAAACAATTGAACAGAAATTGAAAAACGAAGTTACGTTACTATATGATCATTAAAGAACCCCCCCCCCCCCCCCATTTTTTTTTCTCACCTCAAGAAAAAAACAAAGAAAAATCCAGCGTCTGTGGTGAATCGGTTACGAGTTTTACCGTGGCAAGCAAAAGACCTGAGTTCGATTCCCATGTGAGGAGAAATATTATCGTGCAACTCATTCGTTCGGCTGGGACATCGCATCCATCTCAGCTCGGGTTGACCCTGGCAGGCAGGGTCGAAGCCCGCCCCCTCAAAGGTCAAAATTAATTATGTCAGTGGGGACGTAGAAAACGACTTCATTAAAAAAGAATAGCAAAAACAAATAATGAGTCCCCATGTAATGTATAATCACGGTTCATGATATTGGTAGCCAGTTGAGCAACATGTCTTGGTGGTTTAGACCTTATAGAGACTATTAATCTGCAGAAATCGGACATCTACAGTTGGTGAAAATAAATTAAATATGTGTGCTTTACGCCCACATTACACAGTTAAAATTTAAATTATTTACGAGTCATGCTTTGACCCTGTCTATCAGAGCCAACCCGAGCAGAAAGTGATACAACATCCCACCTTACTAAAACTAAAACAAAAAGAGCAATGCCTTGCCAGCTCAAGTGGCGCGCTGTTTTTTAATAGGGGGTGCCCATTAGGCGATCGGGTCGGGTCGGGTCGGGTCCCGTCGGGTCAGGTCACCGCGCCAAGTCGGGTAGTTTTCTGGTGGTTTCAGTGCACACTACAACCCCGCCGCGATTGTACCCGACGACCTGGAAGTTAAGGTAGAGAAACCTTTAACCTCAATGGCTTCCGGAACTCCTTTCCGCGGTTCCCTGTTGCAGTGCTGCAGCAGCCTGGAATCCCATAAACATGGGTTACATCGATAACTTTTTGCCATCAAACATTGTTCATAAAACAAGATAGTTCACTCGGCCAAAAAAGGGTCCGCAGAAGTCCGCCCATTGGTTCGGATGGCGCCAGAAAAAGAATAGGAATATTACAGTTTGATAGCTTTGCTTTTATTGTTTTTCACACAAGTAGGGCGGGGGCTCTCGTGGCCTAGAGGTTAAGGCGTTGGCCTCTCATTCAAAGGTCCCGGGTTCGAATCCGTAGAGCGACCAAAATACTTTCTTCTCTAAAATTGTCTCCTCTCACCTTCTTTCCTTCTCTCTTGCAATATTCTGTAGTCTACTTTCGTCTTTACTTTCATCTCCCACTCCTTCACCTCATTTACCCCTTCCACGGGGCCCCGACTCTTTCTGCAGCCTTTCTACTGCTACTCCTTGGCTCCTTCTTACTGCTGTCTTTCAGCCACACCCCTGATCTTCTGGTAGGAAAGATCTACACCTAGCCTTCTCGGACAAGGGCGAAACATTTTGGAGGGCCCGTGTGCAAGCTGCACACGTTAAAGATCCTTTGGTGGTCTAAAATCGATTAAGAGTACGCTGGGGCTGCCACCCGGGCAAAATTCAAAATTTCCTATCAACTGAAAATATTTGGTGTGTCCCGAGCGCTCATATGACCTTGTGCAGTTGCGAGCGCCGTAAAACACTTAGGCTACCTTTTTGAAGAGGGCGTCATCGGAATGTAAGTGTAAATATGGACACGTGACTCAGCCTTGTTGCGATTGGTTGCAAACCACCCGATCGCACGATTCGCAGGCCTGATAGCAAACGCGTTTGTTTTTATTGGTCACCGACCGAGTCGATCGGTCTGTGCCACGATGGCCGCTTTGCACCCTCAATTTGGCTAGCCCCGACGGTCAACTAGACCCGACCCGACCCGATCGCGCTAGTGGGCACCCCTTATTTATACGCGTTAAAGCAGATTTGTGGTTAAAATTAGCTTTATATGTTCTACCCCTTCGTATAAGATCTATGGAGTTTGCACCATTTCTGAGGAGGGTGGGTTGCTTCGAGCCTGTCTATTAAGGCCAACCCTGACTCATTTGGATACAATATCCCAGCAGGCATAATACGGAATTACTCAATGAAATTTCTTCACTGCACAGGAATCAATCTCACGTCTCTCGAGTACAACGGTAAAAATACTAAGCGTTGTACCACCTATGACGGTAATTAGATCTTAGAAAGCGATTCTGAGAACTGTAGAACAAATTATTAAAACTCACGTACTGAATAGGTTACCTGAAACCTTCTGTACAGGCTTTTGTATTTGCAAATTGCACGCTAGCACCCCCCCCCCCCCCCCGAAAAAAACTCCACACCCCCCACCCCCCAAAAAAATTGTTTTAAATACAAGACCCAAAAAATACAATCCGATTTCCCTGTGGGGAAGATACTATTTATATCTATTAAAATCTCCATCTTCCTGGTGGGATGTATCATTTTTCATTGACCCAATCCGAGAGAATCGAAACAGCCCGCTTCCTAAATGATTTATGCAGGAAAAGGTCGCATAATACTCACAATGAACTGCAACCAAAGAATACGAATTAACCATTTTCTGTGAAGCAATAAGTTAAAAACATCAGCAACAACAGCAACAACAACAACAAAGGCAGCAGCAGCAGTTTTTTTAAAAGTTTTAGTAAGGGTGATAGGGTTATACGGCATTTGCAACACAATAAAATCATATAAGTGCCGAAGATTAGAGGTGTTACAAGAGAGTAACAAACACAAAAAAGAAGGAGGGGAGATAAATACGATAGATGTTTGGAAAGAAAGAAGAAGAAGCAAACCACACCAGACCACCCACCAACCACCCACGCAGCAACAGCAGCAGCAGCAGCAGTAGCAGCAACAACAACAAAAATAACAATAACAAGGATCATACAGAATTTTAATCCCGATGCCTTAGCAAGACAACCGGAAACCTAATCGATACGTTGAATAATCCCCAACATTGTCTACAGGGCTACAGGCTCTGAAGTAAATCTTCAAAACAAACAAGTCAGACGTGCAAAGTAACAGACGCCAACAACACCACCCGAAGAGACTAGGCAACAATATAAGTGACAGACCTGTTCTTTTCGTGTGTTTTTTTTCCCTTGAAGCCAATTTGACGGATTTTCTTAGCCGGTTAAATAGCTTGGTTTATCCGCAGGCCTGCGGTGCTCAATCATCTCACTACTTTCACTGGGGGAGTGTCTTGCATTTTATTTGTTCGTTTGTTTGTTTTATATTCCTTTGGGGTTTTTTGTGTGTTTTTTTCCCCTTTTTTTTGGGGGGGGGGAAGAGAAATAGTTAAAACAAAAGCTCAACTAAGGTCAAGAATACGCCTACATAATGTGAGACAGCGTGGTGGAATCAGGCTCTAGTCAATTTTTGGGCATATTGAGTCATTGGTATCATCTTAAAGCGTGTTTACTTGTCTTGCTTTCACTGAAAAAATTACCCATCCATCTTCAATAGAAGAGGAGATATTTTGGATTGAAGGAGGTGGGGGTCACCTGATTTAAGAGGTAAAATTGGCGAGAAAATGGCCGCCAAAGCTTGGTAAATTCCAAAGCTGGAGAGTCCATGTAAACTGTAAATTTATATTTTTGTGCCTTTAATCAATGTTTTCGGTGAAATTCTTAAAAGAATGTGTTTTTAAATGGACATAATTATAAGGTGTTGAGCTAAAAAACCCAAAATTTGATAAAAAATTGCTCAGCAGGGAGAAAACTGCTGTTTTCTTCGATTTCATTATTTTGACGAGAGCCTGATTCCACCACGCTGCCTCACATATTTTCAAGAGGGGACTAATACGAATCATTCTATTCTGTCATAGCACGGGATTTCGCAATATAGTAATGTCGAAATAAACCATAAAGTGTTTATCTGAAATAATATAT